TTTACATACATATTTACCTTTAATGAAAATATATCCATGAATGGATATACAGGGGTAAACTGATGAAAACATCCAAGACATAACCAAACGCCTTGAGGGAAAGAGTTGCTGGAACTGTGGGCTCAGGATCATCGTCTCAGGAGACATCATGGCCAACTGGCATAACATTGTCCATAAAGACAATGTTCTCATCCTACTTTGGTGGATAGCAACTGAGAATTTTAAAACTCATGAGCAGTCATGTAAGGTACAATTATTGGTCTCTTTCTCTGTGAAAGAAAGAAGATTGTTGAAAACTGAAGATGCTCAGAAACAATTACTCCAATGGACTAATTGTTGTTGTTGTTAGATGCCATTGAATCCATACTGACTCACAGCGACCTCATGCACAGCAGAACGAATCACTTCCCAATCCTGGGCCAACCTCACTACTGTTGCCACGCTTGGGTCCATCGATGCTGCCACTTGGCCAATCCATCTCGTTGGGGGTCTTCCTCTCTTTCTCGGACCTTCCACCTTACTAAACATGATATCCTTCGACAATGAATGGTCTTTCCTGACAATATGTCCAAAGTATGAGAGACGAAGTTTGGCCATCTTGGCCTCCAAGGAGCACTCTGGCTGCACATCTTCCAACCCAGATCTAGTGGTTCTTTTGGCAGCCCATGGCACTTTCAATATTCTCCTCAAACACCATAACTCAAAAGCATCAATTCTTCTATGGTCTTCCTTAGTCACTGTCCAGCTTTCGCATGCATATAAGGTTACTGAAAATACCATGGCTTCGGTCAGGCTAATGGACCATGTGAATATCAGCTTTCACAACTCTGAGACCAAAAGAACTTGTTAGTGCCTGGCTACAATTACCAAAAGCTCTGAAAGAGATCACATTAGAAGGTCGTAAATAGAGTGGGAGAAAATGTGCAATAAAACTAAAAATCACAAAAATGACCAGACATATACTGATCAAACAGAGACTGGTAGAACCCTGAGACTATGGCTCTTTGTCACCTGCAGGTGTGGAACTGAAATCATCCCCATGGTTCAATTTTCAACGAAGCAATCAAAAGCTATCCCCAAAATAACACTAGTGAGGTATGCACACCATAGAATGGCCAATCATTTAAGATCAAAAGGACATCATTTATCTAAGGAAAAGGTTCAGAAGGGTGGAGAAAGAAAGAGGAATGGAAACAAGAACCACAAGGAGGAAGTTAGACGAAGCGATGTTACACTAAAGCGATTGCAATCTGGATGGAACAAAGGGTTTGTATGATTTATTGAATGTAAAACTGATGATCTGCTCTGTAAATCTTTTCATTCAACTCACAATGAAAAGTTTTAAAAGTAATACATCAAGCATTTTAGAGCTAAGACTTATTATTTTCTTGGCAAAGTTCAATTTCATGACTATTTCTTACTGAAGCAGAAGGAAAAGGATAGTTTAGGCTTCCAACAAAATACTCTTAATTCTTAACATCAAAAGTTCTGGTCAAAAGGCAAGAGCAATATAAAAATAAAATAAAAATTAGAACCAGAGGCCTGTAGATTAAATACACAGTGAACCCAGATATGACTTAAAGAAATAATGACATGTAGAATATACAAAAAAATATGGAATGAACTAAAGAGTTCTGAAGGGAAAATAAATTTTTCCAAATTTAAAATAGTGCCATTATAGCTTAAACCTTTGCTTAAAATAGACAGAACACAGAAAGGACTCCATAGTCACACTTAACCACATATTTTCTCTTCAACCATAATCTCCATCTACTTCAAAAGTTGTGAGATGGTCTGAAAAAAGGACAAAATCAAAGGCTACTTTATTTAATTAAAATTATGACAGCTTAAGTTGGAGAGTACAGATTTTCTCAGTGAACTTTTGATTAAATTTTATTATTAAACAATGACTTCACTCTAAACAGGGCACTAATGTAAAATAAGCACAACCACCAATTAAACAGAATCTTAATTTTGATTTGCATAATTGTGACTGAGTATATTTCGAGACTCAATTCAAATCTGATCACAATCAGGTTAAAAAATGAACTAATTTAATCAACATCAGTATGTTTCTATCACCTAAATTAGATACCTTTGTATTTTTTTATACATCAAATCTACCTTCTTTGTTGTCACTATATGGATAATGTCCATATTCCTAGTGAAAATAACACCTCCACTTGTGCATTGGATCCCATATTTTTGTATTTAGTTAAAGTATCCCAATAATTCTAACTTTTACCTATTGCCTAAGAAGTTTCTTCTTTCCTAATCACATCCATCAAACATGGTATTATTTCTCTTAAAAAGATAAAAATCCTTCCTAAAATCCACTATCCATCCAGTTGCTGCCATATTTATTTATTACAGAAAGAGCTGCCTACAGTTGCTGTCACATCTCCAATTCTTTCCTCATATTCTATTTTTTTTTTAATTTTCTGAAGCTTTTTATTGTGAATTGGCTGAAGGATTACAGAGATCATCAGTTTTACATTCAACAAACCATACACTTTGCCATCTCAATGATTGCAATCCCCTCCATGTAACTAGTTATCCCAGTTACTAACTGTGATTCTTATTTCCATTTTACCCTCCTTCATAACCCCTCAGAACTTTGTCCTTAGGTTAATTTTGACCTTTTGATCTTGAATGATTGATCATTCCATGGTGAGCATACCTAAGTAGTGTAGTTGTCCCTGCATACACCTATTCACCACTTGGCTGAAAAATGGACCACGAGGATGAGTTGAATTCCAGACCTAACAGGAGGCTGAGGGCCATAGTCTCAGCTTCCTCCAGTCTCTTTCTGACCAGGAATCCGTTTTTAAAATTTTGAGTTTTGTTCCACTGGGTTTCCCATTCTATCCAAGACTCCTAACATGATCCCTTTCAGAGCAGTTGATAATGGTAGCACCATCTAATTTTTCTGGTTTCAGAATGGTAGAGACTGATGTTGACTTGTTCCATTAGTCCAATGGACTAACTGATTCCAAGCATCTTCAATTTTCACCACTCATTTTCCTTCTGCACATGAAGAGAACAATAGTTGCACCGTAGATGGCCACTCATGAGCTTTTAAGATCCCAGTCGCTACTCACTAAAGTAGGATATAGAACACTGGTATTGTGGATAATGTTATGCCAATTGACCATGGTGTCCTCTGAGACTATGGTCCTGAGATTCCATGCTCAGCAAGTCATTGCTTCAAGATATTTGTTAATGTCTAAGAAGTTTTCATCAAAAATGATTGCAGTGGTACATCTACAACAAGCTTTAAGAAATTCAAGCTGGATACAGAAGAGGATGTGGAACTAAGGGTATCACTGCTGACATCAGATAAATCTTGGATGAAAACAGAGAATACTGGAAAGATGTTTGCTTGTGCTTTACTGACAACGCCAAAGCATTCAACTGTGTGGATTTTAACAATCCTTTGATAATATTCAAAAAAATAGGTATGCCAAACACTTAATTATGCTCATGAAGAGCCTGTATATAGATCAAGAGGCAGTCGATCGAACACAACAAGGAGAGACTAAATGCTTTAAAATTAGGAAAGGTCTGCACTAGCGTTGCAGCCTTTCACTGTACTAATTCGATGTGTACGCTCAGCAAATAATCTGAGAAACTGGACTGTGTGAAGAGGAACACAGCAAGAGGATTGAAGTAAGACTTACAAACAGTCACGTCAACAGTGAGTCCCAATCTCCTTGCTTGGTGAAAACAAGGAAGATGTGAACTATTACTAAAGAAGATCAAAGACTACATTCTTCAGTACAGGTTCCACTTCAATTTAAAGAAAACAAAAATTCTCATAACTGGATCAATAAGTAAGATTACGATAAATGGTTGAAAAGGTTGAAGCTGTCGAAGAGTTCAATTTACTTAGATCCACAATCCATGCTCATGGAAGCAACAGTCAAGAAACCAAAGGACATACTGCCTTAGAAATATCTGCTAAAAAGTACCTTTTTAAAGTGTTAAAGAGCAAAGATGTCATTTTTGATGAGTGAGGTGTACCTAACCCAAGCCATAATACTTTCAATCACCTTATATGCATATGAAAGTTAAATAATGAGTAAGGAAAACCATAGAAGAATTGATGCACTTGAATTATGGAGTTGGTGAAGAATATTGAAAGTACCATGAACTTCCAGAAGAACAAAAAAAATCTTTATTTATTACAGAAGTATTTATCTTATAAGTACAGTCAGAATACTTCTTAGAAATGAAGATGTCAATACTTCATCATTCACATTTTAGACATGTTGTCAGGAGGGAACCAGTCCTGAAGAAGGACATGATGGCTGATAAAGTTGGTAAGTGCCATCGAGTCAATTCTGACCCATAGTGACCTTGTATAGAGTTTCCAAGGAGCAGCTGGTGAGCTTGAACCGCCAACCTTGCAGTTCAAACGGCTTTGCAGTCTGGCGTATTGACCCACAGCCCCACACCAAGACTCCACGTGGTAAAGTGAAAGGTCAGTAAAAAAGAGAAAGCCCCAACAAGACAAATTGGTACAATGGCAGAAACAATGGGCTGAAACACAACTGAATTTTAAGTATCGCGTAAGATCAGGCAGTTGCAATAAGTTGAAACTAATTCAATGGCACCTAAAAGCTATAACAATCATGAGTTAATGTGAGGAATGCTGGTGTGCTGTAGGATAAGCACTGGACTACTAAGCACAGTAGTTCAAATTCACCAGTTGTTCCCTGGGAGAAAGATAAGATTTTGTGTTCCCGTACAGATTTACAGTCTTGGAAACCCTAAACAGGGTCTCTATGAGTGGCAATTGATGCACCAACATACAACAATTTATTGCATTTACCAATAAATATATATATTTAACATTAATAATTTCAGGTTTTAGAAGAAAAAACCCTGAAGTATTTTTGTAGAAAAACTTGTTCAGAATATTTCCTCTTATGTTTTATCATAATAGTAATGAGCCCAAATGAGATATTCAACAAAGATAATGAATATATTTATCTCACCTGGAGATGATACTGAGGGCTCAGGCTGGTTTTCACTTTCCTCATCAGTACTTTCATCGTAAACTGTATCTTTACCAGCACTCATCTGAGAACAGACTGCAGTTTCCCTGGAAACAGAGAAAGGTAGCATTATAAATTATGGGCTCTTCTCCCTGCTAGGTATCAAACTAACAAATAAGTAATAATAGAAAGTATCCTTTAAAAAGATTCTAATTAAAGAACATATATTAAAATATGTGGAGTCCTGGTGTGGTGTTATGGGTTAGTTTGAACCACAAGGGAAGTTCCAACTCACAAGCTTCTCCTTGGAAACCCTGCATAGGGTTGTGATGAGACAGAACTGACTTCATGGCACTGAACAACAACAGCACATTAAAATACATGTGATTTAAATAACAATAAAAATGATGTATTAACTCTTCAGAGTTTTCCTTTCACCTAATAATGTGGGTTAGTGTTCAGTATTATTTCTTGAATTCATTTTCTAGCATTTATTAGTCTTTCATCAAAATATTACTCTTCCATATTATTTTTCTGTGGGTCAGACAATATTTAGCATTTTACTGATCTCAAAACATTTCTACTTCATTTAATTTCCCCAAAGTCTTAAAAGACAGGTACCTTTACCCTTATTATGAGAATAAACTGAAGCACAGAGCTTTAAGACTTGCCCAAAGTCATGTATTAATAGGTACATTAACGGATATCCATATCAGGCTGGCACTTGAAATAAGACCAGTTGACATCAAATGTTATGCTCATTAGCAAGCCTGTGCTTCCTGACAAATTTAGAGCAAAAGACTCTAGCCTATATCACTCAGCTGTGAGAAACTTATAGTTGCCCCAAACCAAACGAGGCTATAAGACATTTATGAGTCTTTCTTTTTAAAGCCAAGTACACACACACCCAGAGAAAACTACATGGAATGATAAAAACAGTAATGACAGACGAATCAGAATCTGAGGTAGGGAAAAGTTTAATTAATATTAATGTTCCTTGAAATTTAACACTCGAAACTTGATTGCTTAAATAGCAAGTTTACAAATGTGAATCTAATTCTCTAGTTTTCAGAAGATGAAAGCTATTTGAAGTGTTTATTAATATGTTTCTTAACTATTTCTAAGAATTGAACAAGCAATATTTAGAGAACCCTCATGCCCGGTATATGATTTAAGTGTCAGTATGGCAGTTAGATGGACATGGAGAGGTGCTGCTGAGAATTGGCCAGGTCACTGCATCCTGTCTAGGAGCAAGTATCCAAACCCAAAAGTCAAATGATCTCATATTACAAAATAAGTTGGTACCTAACTTTCATTAAGTTTGGAGGGGAAATCCACTTAACTGTATGTGTATGGCTTCCCAAAGTTGTTGTTGTCGTTGTTGTCAGGTGCCATCGAGTCAGAACCAAATCATAGAGACCCCATGCACAGCAGAACGAAACAATGTTCGATCCTGGGCCAACCTCACTACCGCTGCCACATTTGAGTCCATCAATGATGACACCTGGATGATCCATCTCGTTGGGGGTCTTCCTCTTTTTCTCCAACCCTCCACCCTACCCAGCATGACATCCTTCTCCAGC